GTAAATATTCTATTTACCCTCACTTTTACAACTGCCAGTTTCTGTTTATTTCTCTCCAGTTTAAAATTTTCTTGAAAAAATTTTGTTGCAGAATTGTAAATTAACTGCTGCTTAGGGTTTGCTGTTAATTTGAGGTTTTTATTTTTTCTTTACTATCAATTTTAACTTTGGCTAATTTCTGTGAAGAAATGTTCATATTGCATTGTTTTATGATCTGATAATGCATCAGTTTGGATAGCCAAATGAACTTTACTGCATTCAAATTTTGTTAATGTATTTTGTTTTCTAGAGAGAAATAATGAGACAGAGTGAGGGAGAAAGAAGAGGGGAGGGAAGGCAGGGAGAGAGAGAGAAAAACAGGAGGGGGAGACAGGCAGGCCAAAACAGACAGACAGAGAGAGAAAGAGAGTCAGAGAGATACAGAGAAAGGAGGAAGAATAAGAGGAGAAAAAAGGAAAAGGAGAAAAGGAGGAAGAAAAGGAGAATAAAGAGAAGGAGGAAGGAAGGAAGGAACAAATGAAATTGTGGGAAAATAAGAAGTAGTTTCCTTTCAAAAAATGTGGAAGATTCTTAAGCAAATGCTGTGTTACTCTTAAGTTTTTATTATTTTGTAAAGGAATAGATAGGTCCAGCCTACCTTTCTGGGGTAAAATTTTGGGCTAGCTGTCTACTTGCAAATCTCAGAAGTTTCATTCTTGGCATGGGTAATGTAATATCTAAATGTGATCACTTTTACTAGACCTGACAGGGAACTCAATCTGTTTAATTTGGGTGAAACTGTTTTGTTCTATACAAAGGTATAGCCTCTTGTATATGCTAGACAAGCCTTCTACTGTGACCTATACTCTGAACTCTGAGTTAAAATATTAATTGAATGAATGATATACCTGCTATTGAGCCACTTGTTACAAAGCACAATGTAAAAATTCAAGTTAGCTTGATAAACAGAATCTAATCAAGATACCTCCCATGCCCCAGGTAACTGTGGTACTCATACTTGGTAAAAGATATCAATTTTAGTAAGATACTTCAAAAGGAGACACATATGCTAAACATACTCAGTTATTATGCAGTATTCTTCTGAAAAGATCTTTAGATGAACAATTGTGATATGTGTATTCTTTTTAGCCTCTTGCCAAAAATGAAAATTTTAATTCTTGCTCATAAAATCTTGTCTGGTTTAGCCTATTGTTAGCATGCTGTTAATCACAATCCTTTCTCAGTATTCATAAGTGCCTGGTTCTAGGACTCATGCTGATACCAGCATCCAGGCATGCTCAAGTCCCTTTATCATGAGATAGTATTCACATGCAGTCTGTGCACATCCTCCTGCGTACTTACATCTTCTCCAGGTTGTTTGTAACATCTAATGTAATGCAAGTATTAGCTAAGTAGTTCTCATATCATTTAGCAGTAATGACAAGAAAACATTTCCGTATATGTTCAACAAAGTTGCAAAATTTATTTAAGTTTGGTTGAATCTGAAATGTTAAACCCGAGGATATGGAAGTTGACCACATTCATTTTCTTCTTTTGGGACAATTACAGTTCATTTTTATTATTCAAAAGTACTGCAAAAATTTATAATATTTAAGAATAAATACTTGAAAATACTAAAGTTAAAACACAGAATTTAAAATATGCAAAAGGTTATAAATATGAAAGTATTATAATCCCATTATTTTTACAAGGAGCTTAATTTAAAATAATTCTATATAGTAATTTGTTTCAGTACTTATACATAGAATATTTTGCAGTCTGAAAGAATTTATAAAAGTTACAAAAATATGAATTGCAGAAAAAAGGATAAAAGTAGTGTACGTATTGTATATCACAGTACAAAAGTCAAATATTTATGTATTTATTGAAAATATATGCTTTTGTTTTATTCTTCAGCTCCTGTATCTACTCTTTAATAGCCATGCTGTAGATCAATGATTTGATATCAAGCAAAATCACATAACTACTTTGTTGTTTGCCCTTTTAAACAAAGAAAAAACTCCCACTAGCTTGTAGAGTCCTTCAATAAAACATGCTTTGACTGTTTACTTAGTTTTGGCACTATTCAGCTTTAGAGTAGGAGTGTTGGCTTTTTTGTTTGCTGAAAAAGATTTTACAGCATAAAGAATATCTCTCACAAGAGACACAATTATCTTTTCATTAGTTAAGTTTATTTGTACATTTTAGGTTCATGTAATGATATCACTGGATTCTCCTTTTTTCCCATTCTCCTACCCTTCTTTCAACCTCCGTTTCCTTCCTGATATATAGGAAACAAGAAGATACTGACTACAGAACCTTATCATAAGGACACTTGTTTTAGAATTATATTTACCTTCTTCTGTGATGCTAGCAAATGAATGATCGACTCGTTTTGTTACACCAGATTTACTAATGTGATTTGTCACAATTACTGGTTTCTGATTGGTTGTCTATTTCTCTGCCACTGGTAAAACCTAAAGCATGTTTTCTCTGAGTATAAATCAAGAGTTATTAATATGCTTGGGGAAAGTACTTTAATGAAAGTGGATCATATATCCCATATTCCAGATTGTGGTGGATTCTTTGCAACCTACCTGCGATGAAGACATAGCCCTGTGCCCCACCTTTTAGGAATCGGATCTGAGTCTTCCTTGGCAAAGAGCAGCTTGTAATGATCCAGAGGCTAGTGGTGGGTACTGCATGGCAGTTTTCACTGGGAACTGGCGGATGAGTAGTGAGTTTAAATCACCTGCAGTTTTATAACTAAACCTGCAACTTTGTTTTAATGAGGCTCTTGAGAATCACAGAGGATGAAATCCATACAAAATTATTAATAAAAGTCCTCAATCTTTTCACAATAAGAATAGCTAGTAGTTTACAACACGATAGTGAAACATGTACTTCAAATGCAAGTTCGGCACTGTTCCTTCAGCTGTCATTGATTACACTACAACTGTTATTACCACCATTTTCAGTTAGTTATACTCTAGAAGTATTTACTCTCACAATTAGAAAGGTTTACAAAGTAAATAGCAGGAATGCAGATCTTCAGCTTTTGCAGATGTTATAACCCATACCTGGAAAAGATGAAATCATGTTTTCCAAACTGAAAAAGTATTAAAGATGATTACAAGGTTGAATAGTCTGTTCAGAAAAATAAAAGCAAGAGGACTCATCATACAAATAATAACTGCATGACAAATATGAGAGGATAAAATACAGTCTTACATGCTTAATGATGGGGTGAACTTCTGAGAAATGTGTCACTAGGTGATTTTGTTTCTGCATGAACATCCTACAGGACATTTGCAAAAATTTTGATGGGCATGGTGCCACAAGGTTGTGCTAAAATACATGTAATGTCATTGTGCATGTGGTTTGTTGTTGACCAAAATATAGTTATGTGTTACACGACTAAATTGTCACAATAGAAACAGAATATTGTATACTATCAATGTAGAGATAACTGTGAAATCAGTCAGACAAACAAGCTTAACTACCATATGAACATCTTCTAGGAGAAAATAAAATGGAGAAAAAATAGAAGAGGTAAGTGTGAAGTAGGGAGACAGTTTTCAAATAATGAGGGAACAAAAGATGGAGGAAGGGGGAGAAGGGAAAGGAATGGGAAAAATAAGGAAAGAACTGAAAAAAAGGAGCAGGGAGACAGAGGAAGGGAAAGAGATGAACACAAAAAAGAATTAAAATGTATTGTGTACATATACCAGCTCTCCAGGATTGTCTTATGGACTGTAAACATGTACTGATAAAAAAAAGATAACTGTAAAGTTCTGCTGAAGGAAATACAAGAGATTAAAGTGAAAGCAAAGATGAACATATACCTTGTGCCAGGAAAAAAAAAACTCAATAAAAATTATCATTACCTTCTTCCCCCCAATTTCATTTGCATATAACTTATATATTAATATAATTTAGTGTGATATTTCAGTACCTGCATGAGACATGCACTGATCAAATCTAACTTTCTTTTATTCCCTTCCCCCAAATTTATTAATTGTTGTATCATTATTGTACATTCATTTAAACTTTTTCTTTCTAAACTTTCCACACAGTGTTTTCCAAAGGCATCCATTTTGCTGCAAGTAACAGGGCTGGTTCTTCTTTATAACTGTTTTATAGATAGATAAATAGATAGATATCAACTTATTTATTCATACATCTCTATATGGACATTTAAGGTGATTGCTGATTCTGTAGCTTCAGCAAATGAATACAGTAGTGCTAAAATAAAACATATGCAGGTATTTCATTGGCATGCTGGTTCACTTCCTTGGCTATACAGAGAAGAGGAACAACAGGATCACATGGTAGATGTATTTTTAGTTTTTGAGAAATCGTCACACTTTCTCCATGACTATCCTAATTAAATTCCCACCAACAGCCAACACTTTTCTAACTCATCTGCCTTACTACATCTCTAGAAGGCAATCCCAATGAAAACTTTTTTGTGTTAGGAAAAATGGCATACGAAGATTAATTTAAGAATCAATTAATATGCAAATACATGTTTTGTAAGAGTGTGAATAATAAAGGTATATTAGCCCCAAGACATATTAAAGCATTTTATAAAGCATTTTATCAGAGTAAAATAAATAAAAATAGCATGATAAATAAAAGGATGTAGCAAGAGAAGAGAACTAAATCTTGCAGGACTCTAGAGCCGTGTTTCTGGGTGAGGGAGACCTCATGATAGGACTGTGGACTGACCCTGCCTCACCAGACAGGAATTACTCCTGACTCCAGAGGTTGCTGGCCCCACACCATTCAGGATTGTAAACAAAAGGAAGAGCTCCCCACTGGTTTTTCTTCCCTCTGTGTAGAGATTTTTTTCTTTTCAACTGATTTGAATGTTTCCATCTCTCTCTCTTCTTTACTCCTTTCCTTTCTATTTGGGACTTTTCTATCATCATCTTCAAGTTTTTGTTTTCTTTAACAATTGTAATCATTTGAATCTCTTGCTGTAAGGAACAAATACCTATTCAAAAATAAGTTAAATTACGCTCCCATCACCAGCACAGATTCTAAAATTGGAACAATACAGAGGAATTAGCGTGGCCCCTGAGCAAGGATGACATGCAAATTCTTGAAGTGGTTTGTATTTTTGACAAATTAGAGGCATTTGTGGGAAAATAGATGTGCCTGGAAAGTACAGTGTTGAGTGAAATAAACCAGACACACAAGGTGAACTATGGTATGGCATCTCTCATTTCAGTGAGGCAAAACACAAGCACAGAAAATGATAGAGGATGGATAGGGGATAAGGGGAGGGGTCTCTCGCAAAAGAGAAGTGCCCAAGGGAACAAGGGTGAGAGGCGAGGAGGGCTAAAGGTAAGGGGAATAAAGATGTTCCGCACATGGTACCCTAGCCACCCCAATCAGTGTGAACGCTGAAAACCATAGCCTGAGCTAAGACAAATGATGTGAGCAAGAATCAAAAAGGAGACCACAATTGTCAAGGAATGTTTCAAAAAACAAAACAAAACAAAAAAGCTGTAAGATGATTGTAAACTGCATAAATTGCAAAGATGTACTAATAAAAAATACTTCTTTTATTTACTTACTATATAAAGAGAAAAAAATAAAACAAAATTTCAAAACAAAAGGTAAAAATGGTTAACACATTGCACACTGTTATCTTTAAATTAGATATACAAGATAGTTAAGGTAGTATACTACTAATATCTCTTAGTTCATTGAAAAGAAAGGTTTGTGACATCATTTGCACAATTAAAAAGTAAATATTTAAAAAATTAAATTTATCGATGGAGTCTCTAATTTTGTGTGCTTCATAATATTGTTAGAAAAAAATACAAATCTCATTCTTTTTGTTTAAGATTCATTGTGAAGCAAGGTATTTCAGTCGTGTTTGTTTTTGTGGCAGTCGTCAGTCAGCCAAATCACATCAACTGTGAAGAAGGCAGAGCCAAGGGAGGCGGTGAGATGCAGGCAGCCCTTGTTTGCAGAAATCCGGTTTCCAGCGATGCTTAGCCCACTGCAGGCCTTCCTTGTTTCCCAATGATCTGTCTGAGGCCAGCTTGCTTGTGGCTGGCGTGGCCTTCTCACCACAAGCTCTGACTGACTGGGCTCCTTTCACAGCCATTCTATTAGGAACATTCTATTAAGGGTTCCATTTCTCAGGCAGACTGTGCTTCTATTTATTTATTTTTAATCAACACAAGTTGTTTGTAGGGGAAAAGTACCATTTGCCAACATATATATATATGTTTTTTGGTTTATCCTTAGATACAGGCTCAACATTCCACATAGGTCAACAGTATCTATTTTAATCTCTTAACTAATACTGGTTTTGTCACCAATGGTTTTTTGACATGCATCATTTTCACTTATTCTACACCTATGACTGGCTTCCCATTGGCCAAATTCCATCTCCATCAATTTCCTTCTCTATGAGACACATCCCTAGGTTTAGAATTGCGAATCAGCCCTGTCTTCAGTGCAAGGAATGATTCACAACTTCACTTTCACTTAGCAACGTTCTGGCTTCTTGTGGGAACCTACAATCTGGATGTCTGCTTTAAAGTAGTTTGTCTAATAAGCTGAGTGTGTTGCTCAGTTCAGCGGCCTGCTTCTAGTCCTCTGTCTTTAGAACTGACATTCTGCTTATGCACATGACATTCATATTTGATTTTGACTTCATTAGTTTGGCTTCATTAGATGGACTTGTCACCTTTGAAATTTTACTGACTTCCTTACAAGAGTAGATTAACAAAAGTAATAAATAATGTAAGAAATACAATATATTTCTACTTTCATTATTTACTAGCTGGAAAAGAGTTAAGAATTTCAAAATATTCTTGCATCATAAGAATGCTATGGATGTCTACTAATCAAATCCCACCTGTAATTAATACCAATTTTATCAGTCAGCATCATGTGACCACTTCAGGTTTCATTTCCAGCATTTACTTGTTCCATAAAGTGGGAATGAAATTGGTAAAAAAAATAATAACTTCCAGTTAGTTCTATATTTTTTACTGTATACACCAGTGGTTCTCAAACTCCAGTGTTTACAGAACCACCTGGAGGGTATGTTGTAGCACTAACTGCTAGCACTAACTCTCTGTCCCCCAAGTTTTGGATTCAGTAAGTCTGAGATAGGCAAAAGAAGTTGCATTTCTGGTGGTTCCTGATTTATGCTGATGCTGTTGGCACTGGGTAGTATTGATCTGTGCTCATTTGAGGATACCGTAAAATCTGTATCTTTACTTCACCCGATTTTAAATTTTAATATTGATTTTCCTAGGTTCTAATTCTAACTACATATGCATGTGTATATATATATATATATATATATATATATATTTTAAATGTGTGCATATTTGTATGTATACATATGAGAATTTTTATATATAAAGTTCAGATTTAATTGAGGACTAAGACAAAAGCATCAGACCAATATCTCTCAACATATCACTCTTGTTACAGATAAAGTTTTAATAGGAATTGTGGGTGGCAACTGGCCCTAAATCTAAATTTCAATTCCTTTCTAAATCACAACCAGAATTGAATTGTTGCCATCCCATTCTCCACCCTCCCCAGCTTCAGTAACAGAATATGCACCTATAAATGTACTACTTGATAGAACAGAACATGTGCTTTTTTGAGGGAAAAGCATTCCAAAAGAGAGGCCACTAAAGAGGACAAATAAACGAGGAGCAAGTTCTTCGCCTGAGCTTGCAAGTCCAGAAAAACTGGTGAAGATATCTAGGATCTGCTTGAGTAACTGTAGGCATCGAAAATGTAGAATGTGGCAGTGAAAAAGAAATTTAAAAATAGATTAAATGTCTTAGGAGAAATAATGTGCTTTCTTTTTGTGAACATTCCTATACCATAGACAGCAGAGAATAATGCTCTGCAAAATACACAAACATGACTAACAAGCCTCAAAAACATTGCTCAGTTTTGTTCCTTAAAAGCAAAAATGCTGAAACCATAAGAAAAATAAAACCACTGCCCAAAGGGGGAAAAATTGCTAATAGCCCTTATAAAAAAAACCAGAAAGAAGTTGAGTCTAAATTTGAACTTCCTGTAATTAGCTTGAAAAATAGTAAAATGAATAACTTTGGACCTGAAGAAGGATAACAAGGCCTTTTAAACAATGTATGGTACTAATGTCAATTTAATTCTTAAAACAATGTTCATGGTTTTAGGATTTCATCCAAAGCTCTTATCCATAAGCAATGGAACACTGTCATGAGAATAATTTCATTTGCAATCTGAGACAGTTCAGATGGATGCATTCTGCTGGCATAGCTGCTCACAGTTAGGAAGTCCACGAGGCACAGCTCATTTTGAGAAAAACTGGGTGCTTACGGTCAGTAGACAGATCATAGAGGTCTCCCAAGCAGGAGCATGGGACCCCAGCCATTGCTCTGAAGGGCAAATTTCAAAGTAGATTTTTGTCTCTATAGCTCCAGTAAGTCTAATGAGCATATATTTGTGTTTTAAGACTCTCAAGTTATTCCTTTAATACATTCATTTCTCCTTCCACATGGATTTCCTGCTGACTTTCAATTATAGACTAATTTAATTTAAATTACAATTAATGAAGTTTTAAACGCTTGCCAATAATGTCAAATATTTAAAATAATTCATTCATAACATATACTGAAAACTGAAGGATATTATGCATCCTAAGTATACTGGATATAGAAAATTGATTATTATATTAGCTCTTTAAACAAGCTATTCAAAGTTCCTACAGGAAGCCAAGCTTGCAAACAGATTTAAAACAGTATGGTGAGAAAGGAAGGGAAGATGAAGCAAAATGGATTAAGTTGTGTGTGTATGGGTACCAGTTCCCCACGGTGACTGTTTTCATTGTATGTCACAAACATATACTAATAAAATATGAATTCAAAAAATAAGTGAAACATAGTACAATAAATGCTACCCTGTGTTACAGGTAGAAAGGTATAGCAGCAGCATAAAATGAGCAGCCGAATCAGTAGGAATCAGAAACAGTTTCAAGGAAATAAGTATCAGAAAAGAAATTTCAAATATACTTCCACAACATTCAAACATAACAGCCTCTTATGGCTCTGTAGCATAAGCTTGCTTGCCTTTCTTTCTTTCTTTCTTTCTTTCTTTCTTTCTTTCTTTCTTTCTCTCTCTCTTTCCTTCCTTCTTTCCTTCTCTCTCTCTCTCTCTCTCTCTCTCTCTCTCTGTCTTTTCAGTTGATAAACGTTCAGAAACACTGCTAATGGCATTGATTACAGAGAAGATAGTTCCCAACAAATGAATGTTTTCTTCTACTGGTGCATTTTTGTTACTGCTTTTCCTAATGAAGGAGGAAGATGGCATGATTTAGAGGAATCTTATAAATTTTTCTGTACTGTTAAAGAAACATTTTTTTAAAAAGACACAGGCAGGGGATTTACCTCAGTGACACAGCACCTGCCTGGCAAGCTTGAGGTCCTGGTTCAATTTCTGATATCAAAAGCCAAAAAAATAAAAACAAACAAACAAACAAACAAAAAAAAAACTAAACCTGAATTTTCAATAGAGTCCAAGATCTGAATGTGAGATTAAACAGATACTACATATTCTTTCAGGCTTTCTTCCAAGTCTACAAGTTCTATAGATTATATTAGCATGACAGAGTTTCCAAGCATGTGAGGTTAGTTTTCCACAATGTGAAAACTCTGAGAAACTACACATGTAAAGCTCAGGCTTTTTTTTTTTTTTTTTTTTTTTTTTTTTTTTTAATTTTGAAGAACCAATCGATACTCTAAGTTACTCAGGTCATTGATGCTCACTATGCGGCAGAACTCTGTAAAAATACTCGGCCATGAACCACAGTACTCTGGTTTCATAAATGTACTGGCTAATTTGATTTATGAGCCTTCATGCCACTACGAAGCTCAGTCATTCATTACTGAGTAACATTAAATGTAGATGAATATTCTGAAATAGGCTTTGCCACAGATGAAAATATTTTCCCTAAATAAATTATACAAACTCAGCTGCCTAGGGGACTTGCGTTTATCATCCACACATCCTCTGGAATGCCCCCAAACCTTTGCCTTCTTTTGTTTTTCCAGAGACAGATATTTTTATGCAGAGTCCTTGGCTCTCCAAGT